TACATCCCAACATCAAGAATACGCCATACATTCCAACATCAAGAACACGCCATACATCCCAACATCAAGAATACACCATACATCCCAACATCAAGAATAGACCATATATCCCAACATCAAGAATACGCCATACATCCCAACATCAAGAACACGCCATACATCCCAACATCAAGTACACGCCATACATCCCAACATCAAGAATACGCCATACATCCCAACATCAAGAATACGCCATACATCCCAACATCAAGAATACGCCATACATCCCAACATCAAGAATTCGCCATATATCCCAACATCAAGAATACACCATACATCCCAACATCAAGAATACGCCATATATCCCAACATCAAGAATACATCATACATCCCAACATCAAGTACACGCCATACATCCCAACATCAAGTATACACCATACATCCCAACATCAAGACTACACAATACATCCCAACATCAAGACTACATCATACATCCCAACATCAAGAATACACCATAAATCCCAACATCAAGAATACGCCATACATCCCAACATCAAGAATACGCCATACATCCCAACATCAAGAATACACCATACATCCCAACATCAAGAATACACCATACATCCCAACATCAAGAACACACCATACATCCCAACATCAAGAATACACCATACATCCCAACATCAAGAATAGACCATATATCCCAACATCAAGAATACACCATACATCCCAACATCAAGAACACGCCATACATCCCAACATCAAGTACACGCCATACATCCCAACATCAAGAATACGCCATACATCCCAACATCAAGAATAGGCCATACATCCCAACATCAAGAATACGCCATACATCCCAACATCAAGAATTCGCCATATATCCCAACATCAAGAATACACCATACATCCCAACATCAAGAATACGCCATATATCCCAACATCAAGAATACATCATACATCCCAACATCAAGTACACGCCATACATCCCAACATCAAGTATACACCATACATCCCAACATCAAGACTACACAATACATCCGAACATCAAGACTACATCATACATCCCAACATCAAGTACACACCATACATCCCTACATCAAGAATACACCATAAATCCCAACATCAAGACTACATCATACATCCCAACATCAAGAATACACCATACATCCCAACATCAAGAATACACCATACATCCCAACATCAAGAATACATCATACATCCCAACATCAAGAATACACCATACATCCCAACATCAAGAATACGCCATACATCCCAACATCAAGAATACGCCATACATCCCAACATCAAGTACACGCCATACATCCCAACATCTAGAATACACCATACATCCCAACATCAAGAATACGCCATACATCCCAACATCAAGAACACGCCATACATCCCAACATCAAGTACACGCCATACATCCCAACATCAAGAATACACCATACATCCCAACATCAAGTACACACCATACATCCCAACATCAAGAATACACCATTCATCCAAACATCAAGAATACATCATACATCCCTACATCAAGAATACACCATACATCCCAACATCAAGAATACACCATACATCCCAACATCAAGAATACACCATACATCCCAACATCAAGAATACACCATACATCCCAACATCAAGAACACACCATACATCCCAACATCAAGTATACACCATGCATCCCAACATCAAGAATACACAATACATCCCAACATCAAGAATACATCATACATCCCAACATCAAGAATACACAATACATCCCAACATCAAGTATACACAATACATCCCAACATCAAGAATACACCATACATCCCAACATCAAGAATACACCATACATCCCAACATCAAGACTACATCATACATCCCAACATCAAGTATACACCATACATCCCAACATCAAGAATACACCATACATCCCAACATCAAGAATACGCCATACATCCCAACATCAAGTACACACCATACATCCCAACATCAAGTACATGCCATACATCCCAACATCAAGACTACATCATACATCCCAACATCAAGAATACACCATACATCCCAACATCAAGAATACACCATACATCCCAACATCAAGACTACATCATACATCCCAACATCAAGAATACACCATACATCCCAACATCAAGACTACATCATACATCCCAACATCAAGTATACACCATACATCCCAACATCAAGAATACACCATACATCCCAACATCAAGAATACACCATACATCCCAACATCAAGACTACATCATACATCCCAACATCAAGTATACACAATACATCCCAACATCAAGTATACGCCATACATCCCAACATCAAGAATACACCATACATCCCAACATCAAGTACACGCCATACATCCCAACATCAAGAATACGCCATACATCCCAACATCAAGTACACGCCATACATCCCAACATCAAGAATACACCATACATCCCAACATCAAGAACACGCCATACATCCCAACATCAAGAATACACCATACATCCCAACATCAAGACTACATCATACATCCCAACATCAAGAACACGCCATACATCCCAACATCAAGAATACACCATACATCCCAACATCAAGAACACGCCATACATCCCAACATCAAGAATACACAATACATCCCAACATCAAGACTACATTATACATCCCAACATCAAGAATACACCATACATCCCAACATCAAGAATACGCCATACATCCCAACATCAAGAACACGCCATACATCCCAACATCAAGAATACACCATACATCCCAACATCAAGAATACGCCATATATCCCAACATCAAGAATACATCATACATCCCAACATCAAGTACACGCCATACATCCCAACATCAAGTATACACCATACATCCCAACATCAAGACTACACAATACATCCCAACATCAAGACTACATCATACATCCCAACATCAAGTACACACCATACATCCCTACATCAAGAATACGCCATACATCCCAACATCAAGAATACACCATACATCCCAACATCAAGACTACACCATACATCCCAACATCAAGAATACACCATACATCCCAACATCAAAATACACAATACATCCCTACATCAAGAACACGCCATACATCCCAACATCAAGAATACACCATACATCCCAACATCAAGACTACATCATACATCCCAACATCAAGAATACGCCATACATTCCAACATCAAGAACACGCCATACATCCCAACATCAAGAATACACCATACATCCCAACATCAAGACTACATCATACATCCCAACATCAAGAATACACCATACATCCCAACATCAAGAACACACCATACATCCCAACATTAAATATACACAATACATCCCAACATCAAGACTACACCATATATCCCAACATCAAGTACACACCATACATCCCAACATCAAGAATACACCATACATCCCAACATCAAGAATAGACCATATATCCCAACATCAAGAATCGACTGTACATCCAATACATTTAGTGCTTAGTTTCTCTGCTCTGCCATTCTAAGTACCCTTACTTGTTGAGCTGTATCTCTCTGCTATCCTAAGTACCCTTACTTGTTGAGCTGTATTCTCTCTGCTATCCTAAGTACCCTTACTTGTTGAGCTGTATTCTCTCTGCTATCCTAAGTACCCTTACTTGTTGAGCTGTATCTCTCTGCTATCCTAAGTACCCTTACTTGTTGAGCTGTATTCTCTCTGCCATCCTAAATACCCTTACTTGTTGAGCTGTATTCTCTCTGCTATCCTAAGTACCCTTACTTGTTGAGCTGTATCTCTCTGCTATCCTAAGTACCCTTACTTGTTGAGCTGTATTCTCTCTGCCATCCTAAATACCCTTACTTGTTGAGCTGTATTCTCTCTGCTATCCTAAGTACCCTTACTTGTTGAGCTGTATTCTCTCTGCTATCCTAAGTACCCTTACTTGTTGAGCTCTATTCTCTCTGCTATCCTAAATACCCTTACTTGTTGAGCTGTATTCTCTCTGCCATCCTAAATACCCTTACTTGTTGAGCTGTATTCTCTCTGCCATCCTAAATACCCTTACTTGTTGAGCTGTATTCTCTCTGCTATCCTAAGTACCCTTACTTGTTGAGCTGTATTCTCTCTGCCATCCTAAATACCCTTACTTGTTGAGCTGTATTCTCTCTGCTATCCTAAATACCCTTACTTGTTGAGCTGTATTCTCTCTGCTATCCTAAGTACCCTTACTTGTTGAGCTGTATCTCTCTGCTATCCTAAGTACCCTTACTTGTTGAGCTGTATTCTCTCTGCCATCCTAAATACCCTTACTTGTTGAGCTGTATTCTCTCTGCTATCCTAAGTACCCTTACTTGTTGAGCTGTATTCTCTCTGCTATCCTAAGTACCCTTACTTGTTGAGCTGTATTCTCTCTGCTATCCTAAATACCCTTACTTGTTGAGCTGTATTCTCTCTGCCATCCTAAATACCCTTACTTGTTGAGCTGTATTCTCTCTGCCATCCTAAATACCCTTACTTGTTGAGCTGTATTCTCTCTGCTATCCTAAGTACCCTTACTTGTTGAGCTGTATTCTCTCTGCTATCCTAAATACCCTTACTTGTTGAGCTGTATTCTCTCTGCTATCCTAAATACCCTTACTTGTTGAGCTGTATTCTCTCTGCTATCCTAAGTACCCTTACTTGTTGAGCTGTATTCTCTCTGCTATCCTAAGTACCCTTACTTGTTGAGCTGTATCTCTCTGCTATCCTAAATACAATTACTTGTTGAGCTGTATTCTCTCTGCTATCCTAAATACCCTTACTTGTTGAGCTGTATTCTCTCTGCTATCCTAAATACCCTTACTTGTTGAGCTGTATTCTCTCTGCCATCCTAAACACCCTTACTTGTTGAGCTGTATTCTCTCTGCTATCCTAAATACAATTACTTGTTGAGCTGTATTCTCTCTGCCATCCTAAATACAAATACTTGTTGAGCTGTATTCTCTCTGCAATCCTAAATACCCTTACTTGTTGAGCTGTATTCTCTCTGCCAACCTAAATACCCTTACTTGTTGAGCTGGTTCTTGATGTCCTCCAGCTCCTTTTTCTCGGCCTGCACGACGTCCTTCTCCTCGGCGGCGAGGTAGCGCAGCCTCATGTGCTCCAGTTCCTGCTGCTGCTTCTTGAGCTGCGCCCGCGCCACATCCTGCTCCCGCTGCTTCAGCCGCGCCAGCTCCTTCAGGGCGCGGCCCCACTGCTGCTTGTAGTGCACCTTTGACTTGCTCACTGCATCAAGCTTTCGTTCCAGCTCAACCTGGACAAATAATGGTGGCCTTTTCATATACAGAGTGGACTGGGACTGGACTTGTTACACAACATTGTCCATCCACCAGTACCCTGTTCAACAAAGTTATCTTAGCAGTACAACATTGTAAGGGTACTTGAAAGTATAGGAATTACTCTTAACACAACTATTGTTTTTGGAACAGTGCCGTGTACTATTAGTCTATTAATTGTAATTTTTCTCACGGCCAAAAGAACAGCACTTTACTTGATGAAAACATCAGGCTTAAACTTGGACATTGGAGCTTGGACAATGGTATGTTGTACATGTTGTACTTTCAAATAACAAATACAGAATAACCATGTAACGGCTGCACATCCCCCATCCCACAATAAACAAGAAAACAGCGTTATCACTATCCCCGCCAAAAATGGTGTGAGAGAGGGTAACTCCAAACGATTTTGAAAAGAGACACCACAGTTTTGGTAGAAATACCAAAATATCAAAAGGCACCAGTTTAGCATGTGTTTTCTTCATATGCATAGTAATGCTCCGGAAACAAAGCGAGACAGATGGATGGACGACCAAATGCATGGATGGCACTCATTCCTATATCCCCCTTCTACTCTGAGCATTGTCAACATCTTGGCATATAACCACTATGGAAGAACCCCACAAGCAGATTTGGTGCTGACAAACCAAGAATCACATTTGCACAGGAATCTGTCAAACTCTGCACAGCCAATTGCAATGGCTCAGACAACCTGTCCACAAATGCCTCCTCAACCACTAGAACTGAGTGGAATTTAAGTGAGTGAAAAGGTGTTCAACACCACTCCGAGCATGTTGAGACAGCAACACCTGATTTCAGCAGAAAATGGATGACCACTCTGGTGAAACACACAAGTATGGGAAATGGCGCTGACAGAATGATCAAGGATGATGATGACGATGACAACGACGAAAAGTATTTATAACACGGATCATTAGGAGCTAGCTTCAGATTTGAGCTCATGACCACTGTATCCATGGGACTAAGGGACATAACTCTGTACTGTGGTGCCATTTCCCAAGTCACCCGTGCCGGTCCAGCCAAAGAAAGATATATACATGGTTATAGAAAACATTCAAATCAAAACCCACCTTTTCTAATGTGAGCAAGTTGATCTCTGACTGGAGTCGCACTTCAGGCTTAGTGTTCTGCTGTTCTTTATAAATAGAAAATTCCTTTTCTGAAGACTTGAGCTTCCTATCTCCATCAGCTAACTAAAAGTAAACAACATATTCATATAGCAGTGAATTAACCATAAAACAAATAAAACTGGTCTGTAACATATTTTACTTGAGAGCTTTTACATATCAATGTCTGTGAAGGTATCTAATGCACAACACACAGACGGCAAAAATGTTAATTCTACCTTGAATTTACTAGAACAGGTCCCACTGACCTATGATTTATGTATCAGACAAATAAATAGTCAGGAGGTCAGGCTCTTGGACTTGGCTGGTTGCTTGTTATTGTGGTTCAGGGACACAGCTGATAATATCAATCACTGGTTTGTCAGGTCCAGATTTAGCGTGATTTGACGATTTACAGCAATTTAGCTGGAATACTGCTGACTGTGGCATTAAACAACCAACTGTGGCATTAAACAACCAACTGCCCAGTACAACACCTCACCACTTAGTACAGCCAAGATCTTCCTGTTGTGTTACTATACAATCGTAACACCAACACCATCTCTATTACCTCTTGTTTGTATCTGGACACTAACTCTTCTAATTCTTTTACTTTCATCCTGAAATAGGAAAAGAAACATGCATAAGATGTCAAAGGAGAGAAAGGCAATGTTGTGTTGAGTATGGGGTGAGTGAGTTTGTGTAACGCTGCTTTGAACATATCCTCCATTAGCAACTTCCCACGTTATTTCTCAAGCACCTGAGTGTATTGGATGGCTATATAGCATCATGTTATACAAATCACCCACAAAAAAGAAGGGAAGGGTCCAGGATATTTATCATGATACAGTGGAGATATAGTACACTAGATAATCGACAATGATTGGAACAGTATTTGTGTCATATCACAGGGTGTCAACTTTATGTTGGCGGAAAGCCTGCAGCATTGCAGGTAGTATGTTTACCTTTGTAACCGAGAGAACCTGAGAACAGTTAGGTACAGGGATGACACAGAAAGTATCATAGCCCATGACCAACAGATCCTGTCACTACAGGTGGGTGTCACTATTGGGTGATCAAGAAAACAGCAAAATTAAATAGCATACCTCAGTTTAATTTTATCTACAATTCTTTATTTTCAGTGTTCCTTATTTATTACACAAGCCATATTTACACATTATGATGAGATACACCAACAAACCAGTATGCAAGTGGGACATCAAATGTACATGCAGCATTACCCACTAAACTATCCCACTGAAGTATTGTATTTCACCTCTCTAGATCTACTTTGTGGTCACAGTCCTCCTTGTGTCGATGTGAGGCTTCCTTCATCTCTTGCAGCTTCCTCTCATGGTCACGCTGAAGGTCTGCCCGCAGACGCAAAACCTGACAGAGAGACAAGGACCACAGTATTTAACCAACTACTAACACTGTCTATTGGATATCAGTAAGCTGATCAATGTAGTGAGGGAAATAGTACCTAATACTGGCCATGGCTTCACATGCATATACCCTATCATGTCATGAATTTGAGATGCAGCAGTTAGTGAAGCCAATAGTTAGGGTGAGACAAACCATGCGGAGCCTGACTCCTGTACACATGGTCATGACTATGACATAACTAGAAAGATCACAAAATCTGCATACATTCTTTATGAAATTGTTGTAATATAAACTGACTATATCTTTGCATGCGCAACAGTACCTTCTCTTTCTTAACTTAATTTCACTCTCTATGGAAATAATAATAAAATCTGCATTTGATCTTTTTGTATGTGGGACCACACCCACCTCCTGTTCATTGACAGCAAGCTGCTTGTCTCTCTTCTCCAGGCTGGCAAGGGCCTTCTTCAGCTGCTCCTCATGCAGGGTGTACTCAACCACCTGGGGACAGATGTCAGGTGTACAGTCTCGAAACATGCCCCTCCCTCCCTACTGGCCACATGGGGACAGATTCAGGTGTACAGTCTCGAAACATGCCCCTCTCTCCCCTCCCTACATGCCACATGGGGACAGATGTCAGGTGTACAGGCTAAAAAACATGCCCCTCCCTCCCTACTGGCCACATGGGGACAGATTCAGGTGTACAGTCTCGAAACATGCCCCTCTCTCCCTTCCCTACTGGCAACATGGGTACATGTCAGGTGTACAGTCTAGAAACATGCCCCTCCCTCCCCTCCCTACATGCCACATGGGGACATGTCAGGTGTACAGTCTAGAAACATGCCCCTCCCTCCCTTCCATACTGGCCACATGGGGACAGATGTCAGGTGTACAGTCTAGAAACATGCCCCTCCCTCCCCTCCCTACTGGCCACATGGGGACATGTCAGGTGTACAGTCTAGAAACATGCCCCTCCCCTCCCTCCCTACTGGCAACATGGGGACAGATTCAAGTGTACAGTCTCGAAACATGCCCCTCCCTCCCCTCCCTACTGGCCACATGGGGACAGATGTCAGGTGTACAGTCTAGAAACATGCCCCTCCCTCCCCTCCCTACATGCCACATGGGGACAGATGTCAGGTGTACAGTCTAGAAACATGTCCCTCCCTCCCCTCCATACTGGCCACATGGGGACAGATGTCAGGTGTACAGTCTCGAAACATGCCCCTCCCTCCCCTCCCTACTGGCCACATGGGGACATGTCAGGTGTACAGTCTCGAAACATGCCCCTCCCTCCCCTCCATACTGGCCACATGGGGACATGTCAGGTGTACAGTCTTGAAACATGCCCCTCCCTCCCCTCCCTACTGGCCACATGGGGACAGATGTCAGGTGTACAGTCTAGAAACATGCCCCTCCCCTCCCTCCCTACTGGCAACATGGGGACAGATTCAAGTGTACAGTCTCGAAACATGCCCCTCCCTCCCCTCCCTACTGGCCACATGGGGACATGTCAGGTGTACAGTCTAGAACATGCCCCTCCCTCCCTACTGGCCACATGGGGACAGATTCAGGTGTACAGTCTTTAATCATGCCCCTCCCTCCCCTCCCTACTGGCCACATGGGGACAGATGTCAGGTGTACAGTCTAGAAACATGCCCCTCCCCTCCCTCCCTACTGGCCACATGGGGACAGATTCAAGTGTACAGTCTCGAAACATGCCCCTCCCTCCCCTCCCTACTGGCCACATGGGGACATGTCAGGTGTACAGTCTAGAAACATGCCCCTCCCTCCCTACTGGCCACATGGGGACAGATTCAGGTGTACAGTCTCGAAACATGCCCCTCCCTCCCTACTGGCAACATGGGGACAGATTCAGGTGTACAGTCTCAAAACATGCCCCTCCCTCCCCTCTCTACTGGCCACATGGGGACATGTCAGGTATACAGTCTAGAAACATGCCCCTCCCTCCCCTCTCTACTGGCCACATGGGGACATGTCAGGTGTACAGTCTAGAAACATGCCCCTCCCTCCCCTCCCTACATGCCACATGGGGACATGTCAGGTGTACAGTCTAGAAACATGCCCCTCCCTCCCCTCCCTACATGCCACATGGGGACATGTCAGGTGTACAGTCTAGAAACATGCCCCTCCCTCCCCTCTCTACTGGCCACATGGGGACATGTCAGGTGTACAGTCTAGAAACATGCCCCTCCCTCCCTACTGGCCACATGGGGACAGATTCAGGTGTACAGTCTCGAAACATGCCCCTCCCTCCCCTCCCTACTGGCAACATGGGTGCATGTCAGGTGTACAGTCTAGAAACATGCCCCTCCCTACTGGCCACATGGGGACAGATTCAGGTGTACAGTCTAGAAACACGCCCCTCCCTCCTTACTGGCAACATGGGGACAGATTCAGGTGTACAGTCTCAAAACATGCCCCTCCCTCCCCTCTCTACTGGCCACATGGGGACATGTCAGGTATACAGTCTAGAAACATGCCCCTCCCTCCCCTCCCTACTGGCCACATGGGGAAAGATGTCAGGTGTACAGTCTCGAAACATGCCCCTCCCTCCCCTCCCTACTGGCCACATGGGGACAGATGTCAGGTGTACAGTCTCGAAACATGCCCCTCACTCCCCTCCCTACTGGCCACCTGGACCTCTGTCCCATGATTATGTTCTGACTATCCCCACTCCGTCTATGACTGTTTCCTGACTATTCCCACTCTGTCCCATGACAGTGTGCTTACTATCCCCACTGTCCCATGACAGTGTGCTGAATATCCCCACTCTGTCCCATGACAGTGTGCTGACTATCCCCACTCTGTCCCAAGACAGTGTGCTGACTATCCCCACTCTGTCCCATGACAGTGTGCTGACTATCCCCACTCTGTCCCATGACAGTGTCCTGACTATCCCCACTCTGTCCATAACTGTGTCCTGACTATCCCCACTCTGTCCATTACTGTGTCCTGACTATCCCCACTCTGTCCATTACTGTGTCCTGACTATCCCCACTCTGTCCCATAACTGTGTCCTGACAATCCCCACTCTGTCCCATGACTGCGTCCTGACTATCCCCACTCTGTCCCATAACTGCTTCCTGACTATCCCCACTCTGTCCCATGACTGTGTCCTGACTATCCCCACTCTGTCCCATAACTGCGTCCTGACAATCCCCACTCTGTCCCATGACTGTGTCCTGACTATCCCCACTCTGTCCCATAACTGCGTCCTGACTATCCCCACTCTGTCCCATAACTGCGTCCTGACTATCCCCACTCTGTCCCATGACTGTGTCCTGACTATCCCCACTCTGTCCCATAACTGCGTCCTGACTATCCCCACTCTGTCCCATTACTGTGTCCTGACTATCCCATATCTGTCCCATGACTGCGTCCTGACAATCCCCACTCTGTCCCATAACTGTGTCCTGACTATCCCCACTCTGTCCCATCACTGTGTCCTGACTATCCCCACTCTGTCCATGACTGTGTCCTGACAATCCCCACTCTGTCCCATAACTGCGTCCTGACTATCCCCACTCTGTCCCATCACTGTGTCCTGACAATCCCCACTCTGTCCATTACTGTGTCCTGACTATCCCCACTCTGTCCATTACTGTGTCCTGACTATCCCCACTCTGTCCCATAACTGTGTCCTGACAATCCCCACTCTGTCCATGACTGTGTCCTGACTATCCCCACTCTGTCCATGACTGTGTCCTGACTATCCCCACTCTGTCCATTACTGTGTCCTGACTATCCCCACTCTGTCCATTACTGTGTCCTGACTATCCCCACTCTGTCCATTACTGTGTCCTGACTATCCCCACTCTGTCCCATCACTGTGTCCTGACTATCCTCACTCTGTCCATGACTGTGTCCTGACAATCCCCACTCTGTCCCATGACTGTGTCCTGACAATCCCCACTCTGTCCATTACTGTGTCCTGACTATCCCCACTCTGTCCCATAACTGTGTCCTGACAATCCCCACTCTGTCCCGTGACTGTGTCCTGACTATCCCCACTCTGTCCATTACTGTGTCCTGACTATCCCCACTCTGTCCATTACTGTGTCCTGACTATCCCCACTCTGTCCATTACTGTGTCCTGACTATCCCCACTCTGTCCCATCACTGTGTCCTGACTATCCTCACTCTGTCCATGACTGTGTCCTGACAATCCCCACTCTGTCCCATGACTGTGTCCTGACAATCCCCACTCTGTCCATTACTGTGTCCTGACTATCCCCACTCTGTCCATTACTGTGTCCTGACAATCCCCACTCTGTCCATTACTGTGTCCTGACTATCCCCACTCTGTCCATTACTGTGTCCTGACAATCCCCACTCTGTCCATTACTGTGTCCTGACTATCCCCACTCTGTCCCATGACTGTGTCCTGACAATCCCCACTCTGTCCCATCACTGTGTCCTGACTATCCCCACTCTGTCCATTACTGTGTCCTGACAATCCCCACTCTGTCCATGACAGTGTCCTGACAATCCCCACTCTGTCCCATAACTGTGTCCTGACAATCCCCACTCTGTCCATTACTGTGTCCTGACTATCCCCACTCTGTCCATTACTGTGTCCTGACTATCCCCACTCTGTCCATTACTGTGTCCTGACTATCCCCACTCTGTCCATTACTGTGTCCTGACTATCCCCACTCTGTCCATTACTGTGTCCTGACTATCCCCACTCTGTCCCATAACTGTGTCCTGACAATCCCCACTCTGTCCCATGACTGTGTCCTGACTATCCCCACTCTGTCCCATGACTGTGTCCTGACTATCCCCACTCTGTCCATGACTGTGTCCTCACTATCCCCACTCTGTTCATGTCTCCCTACCTTCTTCTGCAGCAGCACCTCTCTCTCTCGGTCTCTCTTCTTCCACTCCTCTGCCAGTGCACGCATGTAGGCAGCCTCTTTCTGCTTCAGCTTGGAAAAGAGCACACACGCTTATTTCAGCATTTGATGCAATCTAGTGCACTGTAGCTCACATGTTAATATATCCCACATCACAAACTGTATTGCATGCAGCATAGCATAAATATTCTGACATTAGGTATCCACTGTGACCATCTTTCAAAAGGATCAATCTGAGGTTAATTCAAATAAGCAAATGTGAAATGTATTAATCACAATAACATAGATCTCCTAGGAGCTGTTACCTGGTTCTCAAATGCCTGTTCCTGACCTTCCTTCCACATCTCCAGCTCTAAGGCTGCCTTATACTCCGCCGACTCTCTGGGACTCGTCTCCATCCCTCCGCCTGACTCCACTCCACTGGCGGCATAGCCTGATGACAGGCCCTGAACAAAAGCTCATTTCAGTCAACACAGCAACAATCATACTTGCAAATCATATCCATTCTAGAAACACAAACTTAACACTTTTTGGTCATGCTGACACTCAAGGGAGTATAAGTTTAGATACACAGAGGAATATGTGCACTTGTGTCTGCTTAATATCTTTCTGTCTGGTACGGTCATAAAGCAACAGGCGGGTTTCAAATAGAAGTCTCAAAAATTTTTGACAGCCTAACTTGATTACATTGAAACAGTTGACTTACTTGACTCTCTGATGATGGTATCACAGGTTGTGTGGGCAGAGGCCCCCAGTCCTCCAAGCTCAGGACTGTGCTGATCTCAAACATACAGGCCGACTTTCTGGAGAAGAGAACAGCATCCTGACATTAGTATGTGGAGTACAGGTAGAAAATCAGCTTAGAAATAGGACCACTTCTGGAATGCTGCAGGTCTTATTATTATCCGTGAAGTCACAACAAGCTACCTCCACATGGTTGGTTGGTTGGTTTGTTGTTTAATGCCGCACTCAGCAATATTCCAGCTATATGACGGCGGTCTGTAAATAATCGAGTCTGGACCAGACAATCCAGTAATTGATATCATGAGCATCGATCCACTCAATTGGGATCGATGACATGCATCAACCAAGTCAGCAAGCCTGACCACCCGATCCCGTTAGTCACCTTTTACGACAAGCATAGTTGCCTTTTTACGTCAAGCATGGGTTGCTGAAGACCTATTATACCCCGGAATCTTCACGAGTAACCTCCACATGGAACACCTCCACATGAAGGTATGACAGAACCCAGATTGCAACTCAAGGCATCATAAAGAGCAGAGGTTTAAATGGGGCTGCTTAGTCATCACTCCTTATTCTACAGAACAGAAAAAACATGGCACTTACCCATCCACACTGGATGCTGCTATCCTGTCACTATATTCCTGTCTCCAGCCACTGCCCCCTGTATTGTTCTGAAATATTAATAGAGTGTGTGCATGAGAGGTAGGTATTACCCCATCGATAGCAGTATTGTACCAATATTATATCATGGTCTTGCTATAATAAGCACTGTATACTAAGTGTGGTGCTGTGCAGTGTTTGTTATTAAGGGGGATTCTTCGGGTTCTTTAGATTTGCATGCTGCAATATTTGAATCTAGGGACCCCTAAACCTTCACTTTAAGCCACTTACCATCACTTTTGACTTGTCCACTGTAATGATCTGTCCAAGTGGCAGTCTGGCCCCACCCAACAGAATGTCTTTTGACAATTGCCGATCTCGATGCCAAATCTCTACTATAAGAGGAACTCTGAAACACAGACGAAAAAGGCATAAAGTAAGCAGGAATAGACGACCAGGTCCACAGCATGACATACCAATCACTAGGGCTGTTACGATTCACTTGTGTATTCGGTGAATCGAACTGTATCCATTCAATGAATTGAATTCGTTATTCGTGGCCACTAGAATTGAATATTTATGAACATGCAATCATGTGCATTTACATAAAAATATCCATAAGAACATATTATATGCATAGATTTCTTCAAAAGACAACACTCTTATACTATTTAATCTGACAGTATTGTGGTCACTGGTCATTGTCGCATTTGAGCAGATACTAGCACCTGGATAAGTGCAGTATAGAAATTTATAATATATTAATAATTAACAAACCATGTCATATATTTTGTTGCTTCACTGAACATAACAAACAATACATGAACTGCTGACTTGTTATTGTATTCGTGAATTAATATTCGTATTCGTTTCACAATATTCGTGACATGAATTGTATTCGCCTCATAGTGTATTCGTTGCAGCCCTACCAATCACGATGACAAGGGTTTGTGTAACTGCAGTTTGAGAGAAAACAAGTAGTACTTTCAGATTTTCACTTTTTTTTTCAGAACAAGCAGCCTAGTGGGCAATGTCCTAACCTAGTAGGACTGTAAGATCAAGAGGGAAGTACGAATATACTGAAACAAAAGACCAGAGGAACTACACCACTGGAGTAACTGGAGTAACTGAAGGAACAATACTACAGGACTCACTGGAGGAACAATACTACAGGACTCACTGGAGGAACAATCTTACTTTACCCACTGGAGGAACAATACTACAGGACTCACTGGAGGAACAATACTACAGGACTCACTGGAGGAACAATACTACAGGACTCACTGAAGGAACAATACTACAGGACTCACTGGAGGAACAATACTACAGGACTCACCGGCGGAACAATACTACAGGACACACTGGAGGAACAATACTACAGGACTCACTGAAGGAACAATACTACAGGACTCACTTGAGGAACAATACTACAGGACTCACTGGATGAACAATACTACAGGACTCACTGGAGGAACAATACTACAGGACTCACTGGAAGAACAATACTACAGGACTCACTGGAGGACAAATACTACAGGACTCACCGGAGGAACAATACTACAGGACTCACTGGAGGAACGATAGTACAGGACTCACTGGCGGAACAACACTGCAGGACTCACCGGAGGAACATATCCTGCAACTGCTGCAAAGGGCAGGCAAAAGAAAAGGCACAGAATGACTGTGGGAGGAGAACTTCCATCCCCTTCCTGATCTCCACTGGAGGGTTGGTCAGTACAGGAGATGCCACCCCAAAGAAGGGATAGGAATACCTGCAACAAACATTACATTATAACAAACAAACAAAATATCTTAATTAATGAGTATGGCATATAAGTGTTTATACTTATATTTTATGATATTAGGTAATGAAACAATTCTACATTATCATGATTATGGTGTCACTTACTTAAGGTAAACATTATTGGTGTGTGTGGAGATATGGTCACGGATGCTGCGAAGGTCGATGGAGAAGATGAAGTGGTGCGACTGTGCCGGAATGCTCACATGATGCTGTGTGGTGCTGTCGGAAATTGGGGTTGCTGGACATAGAGGAAAAACACTCAACTTCAATATAAGAACAGGGCACCTCTTTTAATCTCTCTTCTGTGTCAGTTACACGTCCAATAAGATGTACTCCACTCAGTCGCCTGGGTGCCTATCTTAACCACAAATTCCAACAGAGTAGTATGATATCTGATGTGCTTCCTCAGCCTCATCAAGAAATACTGAATGGTTTATGAAGCTCCACAAAATGAAACCCTCATATGAAGCAAACATTTTGCCTTTGAAATAAAAAATAATAATTCAAAATTCACCACTAGCCAGATGTGTATACAAAGTTTCACAAAGAAATAATAACGAACTGATTTTTTTAACTTAATGAACAATAACATGTAACCATTTGGTCAAGTTCACTGCGAGCAGGCCAGCGAAGCCAGTTTGAACCTATTTGTAAATTGCGTCACTCCGAAGACCCGGATTCGATTCTCGACATGGGGATTCTCGTTTTTAAACCTGTCCTCCATTTTCCGGTGTCCCCCGCCGTGATATTGATGGAATATTGCTAAAAGCGGCGTAAAACCATACTCACTCACTCACTCTTTGTAAATTGACCAAAGTGGAACCAGGGTTGAGTACAGAGCTTATTTTCCAAACCCAATTAGACACTGAAGTAAAGTGACTATTCCGCATTGCATTTTATCATATACCCATCAATGATATGAGGTATTTCACATGTGCAATAGAGCCAACATGGAGACGGTCATATCACAGGGGGAGTGATAACCAGACAGGTATTACACCCACTGTCAGGCTGATATGACAACTCAATGCATTTTGAATGGGAGATCGATATAAGCCCAGGTGGTAAAAAATTAGAGTAATATCCCTTGGTGTGTCGTCTGCTCGGCAAGCTTTCCCGTGACAATGTCTTCCAAACAAGTTGAACAGAATTATGCAACTAGATCTTGGACAAAACTGAGGACAGATTTAAGTGAGTGAGTGAGTGAGTATGGTGTTACGCCGCTTTTAGCAATATTCCAGCAATATCAGGGCAGGGGATACCGGAAAATGGAGGACAGGTTTAAAAACGACACGGACAAAAAGGTTTTGTGAACAAAATGAGAAATAAGAATACAGTACATAAAACCAACAGCGACATAAAACTATTCAGAAATTATCTTACGGACATACACAAAATTTAGAGATGTTTTATGCATGAATACATTTTATTATTTGATATTATGGTATATGATAAAAAATTTATTAAATGGCAGTTTTTATACCATACCCGATATCCGCTCGAGAGGCGAAGGTATAATATGAAAACTGACATGTAATAACCTCTAAATACATCATCAGAACAGAAAGGATATCAGCGATTTTGTATCAATCAGTCCCTACGCTATGCTTTTGGCATTGATAATGAAAATCTTATTTGGTCTGCATGAGCTGCCATGAAGTTGCTGTCATTGTTGGCATTCGTTAATCAAAGACATTGATCACAGCCATGTGACTCAACAGAAAGAAATTGTTTTATCAAGGGAAGACTATATTTTGAGGGCACCGTCTTCATCATTAAGCAAAATGTTCATCAAAGATCATCAAAGAGATCTCATCACTGGCATGATCACAGCGAATCTGGGATTTGAACATACAATCATAGGATTCTGGCGTACCTGCACTGTGCAATACTTTTGTTGCAGGATACTGGTTCCTGTCTGGCTCCACACTACCAACAGGGGGCGCCACCTCACCACTCGACTGTTTACCTGAAACATAGGAAACATGTACCATCCAGGAATCACTTTATGCAAAATGATCAAAGATTATTTCCATCAATACCAATTGAAAGCCTTCCCAAAACAATTACTTTTGTTAACACCATCAGACCTTGCAGAAAAGAAATATTTTTTACCATTGTTGTTCTGCTCTTCCCCAAGGTCACTGACATTGTCAGGTGTATTTTCATCCTCAAATGTTTCAGTGTAGTCATCCTCATCTCTCTCCCTCTCTTTGGCCTTGACCTTCACCTCTTCTGGCCTTGGCTTTGTCTGAGTCACCTTTGGCCTCTCCTGCTGTGCAACCCCAGCATGTGTTGGGCTATGACGGTCAGCATGCCCCTTCAAGATTGGTGATGCACCAACACTTCTCAGACCACCACCAGCTGGTGTGTCCTTTACAGGAGTCACTGTAGCCTGAAATAAGCACCCCGGACACTTAGGTAATACACAAAGGTAGGTTGCTTATTAAAGTCATACTCTACAAGTTAGAATTATTTTCAGAGATCGAGCAGAAGTGAAAAAAGTTCAAATGTCAACAACAAAAATATTCAGTAATAGTTAAAAGGCAATTATATACTCCATCTACACTGCTGTTTTCTGCAAAAAAGTATCTGTCTTAAAATCACATAGCAGTTAGCCAATCATGCATGAGGTTGTTTCAGCTGATCCTGCCTTGTCACAAACTTTTAATATTAATCTCATTATTATGATAATCATATCAAAAATCCATTTATTTGAGGGTGACACATCGCTGGTTCTGAAGGAAACAACCTGAAACTATACTGCTGCCTATCTTACCATGTCCTCCTTCCTGAGAACCACTGACACACCCACATTAGGGGTGAGATCAGAAGCCATCGGGGGCAGCTGCTGTTTGGTTTTGTTAGGTGGGATCAGCTGAAAACAGAAGACTTCATGTAACATTTATGTCAGTGACAGGTCAAGGGGCACTGAACACAGAAGATACCCTGATAGGCCTAACAGAGACGAGCATGCAGTCTTGGTGCCGGTAGGACTTCAGATGAAGGAAAAGAGATGTGAGTGAGTGAGTTTTGTTTTACGCCGGTTTAAGTAATATTCCAGCAATATCACAGCGAGGGAAACCAGAAATGGGCTTCACACATTGTACCTATATGAGGAATCGGTGAGGAGAGTGTGAGAGTATGGTTTTAAGCCACTTTTAGCAATATTCCGGCAAAATATCACGGCGGGGGACACCACAAATAGGCTTCACACATTGTACCCATGTCAGGTATTCAACCCGGGTCTTCGGCGCAGCATTTCAAGATGATCATGAAAAAAGCAGGAAATAAATTTTTTAGTCCAGTTTTCGATCACCAAAACAAAGAAGTGACATTGTCTAGATATCGTATTGTTTGAATGGTGGTATAGTTACCTGGGATTATAGATTTAGTGGCACTTATTACTGCTAAAGAGAGTTCAGTTTGTAATTTCATGTCACATAATTATTTCGAAATAGTCATGAAATATGACCTAATTGAAAATCTTGTATGTTCACTGAAATAAATATATTACTTATATAAGTTGTAGCAGTATCACAAGATTATATGTAGTTTTATGCATCCAATGTTAGGCTTTAGTTTTGAATAAATTTCATACTTAGTAATACTGATTTCAGTTTCAAGAATTTCATGATGACTCAGAAATATATAGTAAATACTTCTTGTATAATTACAAGGTAAAGCAATATATAAGGGCATGACACTCCCTATGGTGAACCAAGCTTGACACTGCTCTGCATCTAACTATAGCATTACACTGTATCTTTAATGCAAAGAAGATACCCAGCAGAATTACTTACAATTACTAGTGAATTGCCTATAATTACTCAGCATTATTGAAATAGTGACAAAGATTTTTACTTACTTTTGATAAAATTAGTAAAATCTAAATACTTTTTACATTTGTATACTTATCCTGCATTACTCCTTAATGCATTCACTGCTTACTTACGACAACTAGAAGGACAGCGCTGCGAAGGTCCTGGGTGAAGAAATAAAGTTGTTGTTCTCAAGTCCCAATCAGTGGCCTTCCGTCGCTGTCCTGTGACCTTGATGACACCTAAGGTCATCTTCACATCACTGCCTGTCGCCCAAGCTCTTAGAAAAACATACTTTTGAGGTTTCTGAAGCCAAAGTGGGGAGGCAAGTCTTACGACGGGTGGGCCTTAAGCGTAGTAATGCAGGATAAGTATACAAATGTAAAAAATATTTAGATTTTACTAACTTTTTTACGTATCCTGCATTACTCCTTAATGCATCTGTATCGGACGGTTTGGAGGTGGGTAAACCTTCAGAATACAGAAACCTCAATAATTCACACCCTGCAATACGACACCAGTTGGTCGATAAACCGTGAAGCGGAAAAGTTCAGATAAAAACGCCATTACGGTAGGGTTGTTCAAAAATCAAAAAGATTGAACATAGGAATTAAAGAGAAATTCCCTATACACGCTTAGTAATAAAGAAAATATTAGCTATTCAGCTAATTCTTTACTTACTGCGTCATAGAGCCGTCGCTGACAAACAAGATTGTCTAATATTCTTCCACTGGTGGCGACTGAGTGACTGCACATGGAAGTTGAGTGGCTCTGTATAGGGCGAGTTCATTATTTGCGTCAGGGGTTGGCAATCTGCAGGATAACAACCAGAGGGCCAAACTTTGAACGTCTTCGACATCCTCGAGAGCCCCAACGCGAAGGTTATGAGTAACGAAAATATGTGTCGAATCTCCAGAAATATCCTTTCGTGATTGTTCCAAAACCACAATTGCCGTGTTGAGCCCTGGTAAGGCTGACACCTTGAGATCTTGAGGGTAATTCGCTCTCGTGATGATCTCGTAGGCCTGAAGGATTACTGCGCGATTATGCGACTAACTTCTGTCGTGGACGAACCACGCCTAGTCTTCGAGCGTCGAATGAAAACTCGAACTGCTCGCACCGAGCCAAGGAGAACTTCACCATGTACGATTCCCACAATAGTCGATATCGGTGGGATGGTGAAGGAACGGTCGGGTTGGCCTGGTAGTAGATTTTAGCAATAAAATCCAAGCATAACCCTAGATGTCTCGTTCCGTGCGTCCCATGCTCAAAATGGATCCGGGTTGAGTCGATCACATGTAGTTCGCTCACCCGTACCGCCATTGCTAATGCCAAGAGAAACCATTGTTTCCTTGGTGAGGTCCAAGCTCCTCACAGCGATAGCCCGTTCGCGGAGCTCTCTATACTATACCGAGAGTGTAACGAGGTGTCACGCGCTGGGAAGGAGCTTGAAAATGAGGATGCAATGAGGGGCTCGAAGGGGGCCCTCGCAAACCTCGAAGTACCACATTCAAGTCCCAATCAGGTGGGTGGAACTTGGCCTTCTGATCCTCAAGCCTGAATGAACATAATATGGCCTGTAGTCCCGTGACCTTAATCACATTGTGATTTTCCGGAAACGGCCAACACTAGGATAATTGCAGCCAATTACGTAGTAATGGTGCTACCTTCCAAGTGTTTTTGGGTACGCAATGTAGGAGGTATTCCTCTAGGAATTGTGACGCAATCGTAGGGTCTTTATTCTTTTCTTCCCTGTAAAAAGTCTCAAGTGATCCCCACTTGTCATCGTCGTCTCTGGGAGAGTAACGATGAACTAAAGCTATAGCTTTGCTGCCCATGTCGAAATAACCCTTCGCACTTAAACGCCTTTTAAAGACGAACCATGCGTGCAGACGTTGGGTGAGGCAATTTTCTGTTGAGGGTGGATGAGTAGGTTGGACCACTGTGAGAAGGGTAGTGAATCATTTTAGATTTTTCCAAGCTTGACGAACTACCCTCTCGCCGGTTACCAGGGTGCGACCAAAGGAGAGATCGAGATACCTTGTCTCCTTGATCCCCTGTATCACCTTTGGAAGTAAAAGTGATGGCAGAAAAGTGTTAGTTTTTTGCCCTTCCCAAGTGATACTGAACTCGTCCACCGCCCAAGTCTGCGGATCCGGCAACGGGGAGATATACGTCATGAGTTGGTGGCCTAGGCAAGTAATAAACAAGTCAATGTTTGGTTGCCTGAATTCCTGAAGCAGTAACTGGAATGCTTCTGTGAGAAATTTCCACTCGGTGGGAGCCACCCTGTCTGGACGTGATAAAGTATCGGCCAGTATGTTTCTACTTCCGGGGATGTGCTGAACTATGAACTTTAGTCACAGCCCATCCACTAGATGGAACAAATCTGAATGTTCTTAGAAGTAGAGAGTGGGAGTGTGTTGTTCCCCGATTGCACAGGCACCACACCGCAGTGCTGTTGTCTGTGGATATTGCGAGTCGGGCTAACTGTAGTTGATTCTGCCAATGTGATATAGCCAGAATTAAAGCTTCCAACTCCAAGTTGTTTATGTGCCACTTCCATTGAGCGCCGGGCCATAGCCCTGAGCTTATCTGGTCTTGTAAGTGAAGACCCCACCCCTGTAAGGGGACGTCCACAAATAGGTGTGTATTCGGGGAAAACCCGAATAAAGAGACTCCGCAGACATTCAACGCCACAAATTGAGGCAAGGCTCTAGCTTAGTCGGTAGAGTGATTGCCTTGAGTGGATCCTGACTCCTGATGTAAGGGTTCAGGAAAAAATTGAAGTGGTCACAGTTGTAAGCGGCCCATGCTAGTTAACTCCTGTGCCGAGGTGATTAACCCTAGCAACTCTTGCCACTGGCGAAGTGTGCGTGGTTGGTGTAGAGTAGACAAGTATTTGTCACAGAAGTGACGAAATGTCCCCCGCCTGTATATACACCATAGTACCAAATATGAAGACAATCCAGCGATTAGTTCTTGAGATATCGCGGCAACACGGTTTTCCAACTCCAAAAGCAGATTTGCCTGCTGTGAGCTTGAAAATGTGGTCAAGGTCACCAAAACCGACTGGTGTCTGCGGTGTCTGTATATACACCATAGTTCCAAATATTAAGACAATCCTGCGATTAGTTCTTGAGATATCGCGGCAACACCGTTTTCCAACTCCAAAAGCAGATTTACCTGCTGTGACCTTGAAAATAGGGTCAAGGTCACCAAAACCGACTGATGTCTGCGGAGTCTGTATATACACCATAGCTCCAAATATGAAAACAATCCAGTGTTTAGTTCTAGAGATATCGCTGCAACACCGTTTTCCAACTCCAAAAGCAGATTTGCCTGCTGTGAGCTTGAAAATGGGGTCAAGGTCACCAAAACCGACTGGTGTCTGCGGTGTCTGTATATACACCATAGTTGCAAACATGAAGACAATCCTGCGATTAGTTCTTGAGATATCGCGGCATCACCGTTTTCCAACTCCAAAAGCAGATTTGCCTGCTGTGACCTTGAAAATGGGGTCAAGGTCACCAAAACCGACTGGTGTCTGCGGAGTCTGTATATACACCATAGTACCAAATATGAAGACAATCCAGTGTTTAGTTCTTGAGATATCGCTGCAACACCGTTTTCCAACTCCAAAAGCAGATTTGCCTGCTGTGACCTTGAAAATGGGGTCAAGGTCACCAAAACCGACTGGTGTCTGCGGAGGCTGTATATACACCATAGTTCCAAATATGAAGACAATCCAGAGATTAGTTCTTGAGATATCGCGGCAACAAACAGGTGGGACGTACGGACGGACGTACGGACGGTCGTGAATACTATATCCCCCGCTTCGCGCTTTCGCGCGGCGGGGGACAATGACAAAATAAGTAGAAACTTGTGCCATCTGTCCCTCGGTACAGATAGGATATCCTGGTCTGTCTTGAACAGGTCTCCTATGAATCAATAGGAAGGAGAATACTCCCGACTTCGCCTCGTTGATTGTCTATCCCAGTTATTGACATGTGTTGATGATACAGTAGATCGCCCTCCATCTACGACTCGAACCAAGTGTTCATCACGTGTAGATAGTTATTGGCTTCATTTCTCCTGTAAATAGCCATAAGTGTCACTGACATGTCAAATGGGAAATACTACCATTGGTAGTGAACCCCAATGAACTGGACCTGAAATGTCTACGGTTGGGATGGATAGTCGAGACTGATCAAGAATCAAACGTTCGTTGAACACAGAGATTGTGGATCATTCTCATCTTGTCTGGGTCCTTCATGAGTACCAGGTAGGTGTGAGGATAAAACCCCGGTGTAAAGACTGGGTTGTGAACCCACTCTACAGCTCTTCTTACCAACTGTATGTCTATGTTGGATTTTCCCAATCAAACTGTGGTCAACGGTGGGGTTATCTCTACCCGTATACGGACACCATGATATAGTGCGATAAGTACTAAATCGTCCTTGAGACTTGTCTCTGCCACTCCCTTTCTCAGTAAGGGAATGCTGGTCTTCCCTGAGAAACGCGCGTCTAGGCTTATAATTCCCTAACTTGCCAGCCCGCTTGGACTTTCCAAGCTGTTTGGGAACTTGATGTGCGTGTCTGCGATCTGTTCATTGAACAGGGGAGTAGATTACCAAGGTTGACGTAAAAGACTGCCCTTGAAACCAGCATCTCAGTTGGAAACGCTATAAAATCTTGGGTGTAACGCTAATCTCCGTCAGAACGGTCTCAAGATGAATTTTCCTGTGGTCAAACTGACGCTTGTAGGAAAAACACCATAGTTTGGAAGTTATCTAATCAGATAGGGTTATCCTCTAATAGATTCTGATCCACTGCAAACATTGACGATATTGGTCGCTTAAATGACGGAGCAAATGTGAGTTTTGGAGAAGTCTTCCTCCAATGACCTCGTGGTGTCCCTCTTATTTACCCTGTTATCAGGGGAGGGTGTTACTGACACGAGATGGTCTGCTTCCCAATTGGGTACATGTGCTAAGCTGATCATGTGCCGGTTACGTAACCGAGTACACTGTAAGCCTTTGGCTAACGTCATTGTAGAGACCTTGATTAGTACGCAGACGCTGCGCTCAGCGCAGGTCTGGAATGTTGGAACAGCGCTAAGCTGATCGTGCGACACTTGCATAATAGGAGCGCTTGGGTAGCAGTCAGACGCTGCGCTCGGCGCAGGTCTATGCTGGATATGTTGGAACAGCGCTAAGCTGATCGTGCGTCGCTTGCGTGATAGGAGCGCTTGGGTAGCGGTCAGACGCTGCGCTCGGCGCAGGTCTATGCTGGATATGTTGGAACAGAGCTAAGCTGATCGTGCGTCACTTGCGTAATAGAAGTGCTTGGGTTGTAGTCAAGTGCTGCGCTCGGCGCAGATAAATCAGACACAAAGCTCAAAAGTATTGACTGGATCAAGGCTTGCGTCTAATCTACCCCCATCATAGCATCTTGATACGCTGGTGCTGTCGCCGACGTCACAGATTAACATACATGTATCTGGAAGTGTCCGGCGGCTGAAAAAATAGGAGCAGTGACGATACTCACAAAATCCTCCTGTATTGTTGATTTTGGTGGATGGTGTACTTCTGCAGTCACAGGCGTCATAATACCTGCCGATAACAACGGTTGGGTGGTAATGACCGCACCATGTCATTCGCTATTCTGAGATAGTGACATTCCTCTTGTCTCACGACGGAATAACTGCAAAATATGATTGTGAGTAATTTGCTTTTATATAGTAAACTCATTGGATTAGAGATTTACACAAAAATTACATTTTGAATTTTGGCGAGCACATCCACGTGCATGCCTAGGACCGTGGATAAAGAGCTTTGGGCGATTATTCCACGACAATATGTACACCACGCAAACATAAATTACGCAATTAAACCATTGAAGAAATGGTACTGGAAGAATGCTGTAGAATTGAACAGTAATCTATCGGCAAAAATACGAATTGCAAGGGTATACAAAAATTTTATATACGCAATTCAATGTAAACCAAGGCTATTTACATTTAGAGATTGGAGAGCACATCTGCGCGCAAACCAACCAACGTGGATGATAATCTTTGTAAGGTTTTTTCCACGACAATTAGTACAATGCTCAAAGGTATGTTACGCAATTAAACCCTTGTTGATGAGACAATACTGGAAGAGTGTCGAAGAATTTGAACACTAATCTATCGGCAAAATTATGAGTTGCAAGGGTATACAATATTTTTGTATGCGCAACTCAGTGTAAACCAAGGGTATTTATATTTTCATTTAGAGTTTGGAGAGCACATCTGCGTACAGACCAAACAACGTGGATGATAATCTTTGTAAGATTTTTCCCACGACAATTAGTACCACGCTCAATCATAAGTTACACAATTACGCCATTGTTGATGAGGCGGTACTGGAAGAATGCCATAGAATTGAACCATAATCTATCGGCAAAACTACGAGTTGCAAGAGTATACAATAGTTCATATACGCAACTCAATGTAAACCAAAAAGACCAACAAAAAACTATTTAATCGCATAAACATAGGTACGCAATAAAAGAATTGTTGATGAAGCGTGACTGGAAGAAAGCCGTAGATTTGATATTAATCTATCGGCAACCATATTTTTAACGAGTTGAAAAAGTATACAATAATTTGAGTATACGCAACTCACTGTTACGCCAAAGCTAGTAGTATTTAAGAACATAAGAATATGTTATACAAACGTAGCTGAGAATTGTAAACAAGATGACTACCTTGGCAGGCAAACGATTGTAACACAATTCAAAATGGCGGCGATCAACAATATTTTGGCGGGAAAAAAGACAAGAGTCTTCACGCCTAATTATTTCACATAAAACTACACAACATGGTGAAAGTAATATGAAAAGAATACATCACCCATCGCAGATCAATTTTTAAGATTGTAGACAAACTGAAGGTCTAAAATTAATCCAAAAGGAGAGCTCCGCTTGGACACGTCCTAGCTGTGCTGCTACAAGCAGTGATGTGAAGATGACCTTAGGTGTCATCAAGGTCACAGGACAGCGACGGAAGGACACTGATTGGGACTTGAGAACAACAACTTTATTTCTTCACCCGGGACCTTCGCAGCGCTGTCCTTCTAGTTGTCGTAAGTAAGCAGTGAATGCATTAAGGAGTAATGCAGGATAAGTAAAAACATTTACTAATTATAAATATTTTTTAGGAATTTACTTTTTTCAGTGTTAAAAATCATTTCATCAGGGCTCCTGAACTTTCTGAAGCACTAGTTAAAATATGACTTAGTACTTGTCCTCGAGTCTTGTACAAGAGATACTTACCTGGAAGGCTCCATCTATGGTGACTGGCTTCATGTAGATCTCTGTGCTGCCTTTCTTGATGAGGGAAGCTAATGGAACCTCGCAACTGCCTAGAGACTGATCACCGCAGCACAGGTGAATCTGCAAATGGTAGAACATTTTCCATAGGGCAGTTCCAGTAAAGTGAGTGAATATTGTTTTGTGCCACAATCAGCACTCTTACAGCTTTATCATAGCAAATTGTGAAAATTCAAATCTGAACCAAACAAGGTGGTGAGGTCAAATGGGGTTAAACATTGCATCCAAGATTATTGCACTTATATAGCGACATGCATGCACATGTATATGTGTGTGTGTGGCTGCTTGTACTAGTCTGGACGGATGCTGATTTAAAGTGCTAGCACACTGAGATACCATGCCGCAGTTTAACATGAATACCCCACTCAGACACAGTCTACTGATTCTATAATCACAAGAGCCAGTTAGTAAGCTATTGGATGGTGAAAAGATTTTATAATCACAAGAGCCAGTTAGTATGCTATTGGGTTGCGAAAAGATTCTATAATCACAAGAGCCAGTTAGTAAGCTATTGGATGGTGAAAAGATTCTATAATCACAAGAGCCAGTAAGTAAGCTATTGGGTGGCCAAAAGATTCTATAATCACAAGAGCCAGTTAGTATGCTATTGGGGGACGAAAAGTTTCTATAATCACAAGAGCCAGTTAGTAAGCTATTGGGTGGTGAAAAGATTCTATAATCACAAGAGCCAGTTAGTAAGCTATTGGATGGTGAAAAGATTCTAAAATCACAAAGGCCAGTTAGTATGCTATTGGGCGGTGAAAAGATTCTATAATCTTAAGAGCCAGTTAGTAAGCTATTGGGTGGTAAAAAGATTCTATAATCGTCATAACCAGTTAATATGCTATTGGGTGGCAAACAGTTTCTTTTGTATCACCCTATGCATGTTAATAAGTGTACCAGACCTCCTCCGTGGAGCAGAAGATCCAGGGTTCGATTCCCGGCCATGTCATACCAAAAGACATTAAAAGATGGTACTTGTTGTTACCCTGTCTGGACTGGCCGACTCGGGAGTCAGTATACTGTGTCTGAGTGGGGTAGTCATGTTAAACTGCAGCATGGTAACTCAGTGGGCTAGCACTATAAATCAGCATCAGTCCGGACTAGCACAAGCAGCCACACACATACATGCACATGCATGCACGTCGCTTTGTAAGTGCAATAATCTTGGCATGACATTAAACCCCATTTGACCTCACCAGCTTCTTTGGTCAATTGGGTGGTGAACAGATTCTATAATCACAAGAGCCTGTTAGTAAGTTATTGGATGGTCAACAGGTTCATAATAACTTAGATTATAGAATCTTTTCACAATCCAATAGCATATTAACTGTCTCTTGTGATTACAGAATATTTTCACCATCCAATAGCATACTAACTGTCTCTTGTGATTACAGAATATTTTCACCATCCAATAGCATACTAACTGGCTCTTGTGATTATAGAATCTTTTCACCATCCAATAGCATACTAACTGACTGTTGTGATTATAGAAGGACACATACTAAGGTGTAGACAGGTCTAGACTGTACGTAATGGTAGTGACCTGTATGCCTGGCTGGCTGTGGAAGAAGACCCTGAGTGCATCCACGCTGCTCCGTAGTCTCACGGACGCCCGCTCGGCAGGAAAGCTGGGGTTGATGAGGTCTGAGAAACTCTCGTTGGTCACATCATTACCCAGGAGTGAGTAGTAGAAGAAGTAGCCACCACTAGCAGGCAGTGGCAAGGTGCTCGGAATCAACTGGAACACAATATCATGGGTGTTACCGTAGACTATCTACATCAACACTGACAGTGGCATCCATACAGGAAGGAGTTTGAGTTTTCAAACTGGGAGTGTAACATACGTCTGTTATTTTGTTTGCAAACTGAGATGGCCTTACAGTTCTAAGGAAATGTTGTTGGATACACAAACATGGTGAATACAAAGGCAGCGTTTTCAACTAGGTCCTGATTATTTGTAGAAAGTAAGATCACAAATACTATGCATTGATGGACACAAGATAAATAGGGGTTGAAAATTTATTTTTCTGAGTTTGTTCCATCTGTCTCACAGTCACGTGAAGTGGAAGTGATATTTGTCTTCAGCTGTATTACAACATATCGGTGTTTACATCGTGTACAATGCATCTTCCCCAGGCAAGGGGGTTAACTGACTATATACGTCCAGTTTCCACCCATGCTAAACTGGAATTTCTGGCATCGATCGTAGCACCACCAGTGGTTATTATGACTTATGTCCCTTCTACGTTCAACCTATTGACCAATCAGATTCGGCCTCTCACATCACTAACATTTATTCAAACAAAATAGCAGCTCCGAGTCAAGATGATCTGATTGATAATCAAAATTTATATTGTGATAAAACAGGTCTTACTTCACAAAATGTGTCAAAATCATGTGAGCACCCATCTTTCCGGGGCAAGAGAGTTAACTGACTTTAAAAGTCCAGTTTCCACCCTTGTCGAACTAGGTTGGAATTACAGGGCTCGATCTTAGTGCTACCAGTAGCAATTACCAGTTATGTCCCTTCTAAGCCTTTCCTATGGACCAATCAGATTCCACCTCTCGTATCACTTGCATTTGCTTCAAACAAAATGGCGGCGCCCAGTCAGGACGATCTGATCGATAATCAAGATCTATATTGTGATAAAACGGGTCTCACATGGCTAAATGCATCAAATCATGTGAGCCACTTGATTAAAAAAATGAAAAGATTTTGGTCTGGTTGCTGGGAAATGACCGTTAGGTGTTAGTCTAATTCAGAGTGCTGCTGTGTGCGTAAGTACATGTTTGTACAGAACTGAATAAACAACATTGTCTCAATACATGTACAGTAAATCACATGGATAATTGAGTGAATATATGACAGTAATAAGTATAATTATCATTTGGTTAAGCTTTGACAGAGGTATTGAAGATATACAGTCAAGCTTGTTTAGACCGAGATGATTTGAACAAGCAGATGGCATGTAATATTTGTGAGCTGTCCTACAGTTTACAAGAAAAGAAACATGTATAAGACATAGTCAATAAATAAAGAAAATAGACGCACCATGTTGTTTCCCAGACATCCTTGCTTATTACACATTTAAACTGAATGTATTCTTAGGTGATATAATGTAATAGTAATACATTTTTTATCATCTCTTTCCACACGCAGATTGCTAGCTAAACCAATGCTAACCCAGAATTTCCACGGGCATGTAAAACTGCATGCAGTTAAAGCTACGCAACATGTTGATTTAATCGTTAACATACGTCCCCAGTTGTGACAAATTTGAACACATGGTAACAACCTACCTGAGCTAGATTTGAAGCATATGCAATAGTGACAGACAAAACAAACTGTTCTGTGTGTCGCTTGGCAGGACCAATCTGATAATATCCTTCATCTTCATTCAGCGCTGGCTTGAGAGTATGTGGCTGCAACCCCTTTGCCAAGTCTGCCTCATCTTGAAACAAATATAGACTCATAATATACCGGTTCCAGAATAAGCGACTGGGAGTTTAAGCCGTAACACTCTTCTGTTGTATCCCTTCCTGTTAAACTATGTGCAGTGTTGTTCTGAGAGTAAGTTAGTATCACTGTTACTATCTCATAAGACCATCAAAGAAGAAGAGAAAAAGAAATGGAAATATATAATATTGTACTAATTTCATACCTCTACATGGAATCTATGAAGTAACAAGAATATCACACAGTAAACTATCCATAAATGTCACTCAGAAAGAAAATATTTTCACCCCTCTTAAAATGAATTTCATGAAATTGCCTAAAATAAAAATATAAAATTTAAATTTGAAAAATATTAAATTAAATTATTAACTTCACTAACATGTATAGCTTTAAAACATAATACTAGAGGTGGAAAAATATGGTAACGCTGCGATATGATATGTATCCCAATACTGTAAGTGCGATACATTTCCAATCTCATTAAAATCAGATCTTAGTTTTCGCTACCGCTAAACAAAGATCTGAGGACATCCCATTACGGGTCACGTCAGAACGACCTTTCGCTAATTTTGACAGACCAATGAAATGACCGACAAGAAATCGACATTAGCCAATCAGAAGGCAGCTTTCTCGAGCTTTACAACGCTAGTTTCAAACTGGCGACTACGCTTCAAAACATTCTCGATTAACAAAATTAAACTGATAAGAAGAATATTCTGGAAAGGCTTATAGATGGGCTAGATTGTATGGATATAATCACAAAACCTGTAACTATCGTTCGGAATACCCCGTGTTAAATATTTCGTGGTTGCATGATTGGAAAACACATTCCGACTGTCACTTTCATGATCCGGTAAGCGACGCTCTGATTGGTTGGATGAGAGGTCGTTCTGACATGACCCTTAATGGGATGTCCTCAGATCTTTGTTTAGCGATAACGAGCACTAAGATCTGATTTTAATGTGATTGGATACATTTCGTATCCCAATACTATGTGTGCGAAACGATTTGCATCCTGATGCAGTACTTTTGTTTTTAATAAGTTGATATTCTTTCTTTCTGCAGGTGAATCACAATCCTGAATCAAGACTTACGACATGAGAAACACTTCCAAACTTTGACGTTTTTATTACAAAGAAGTTTATAGGACTTCTGCAAGCTGATCACTGATTTACAGTTTAATAACTAACTAATAATAATACCAAATGTGTTATTATTCATGTCTTTCTACACTAACATAACTCGTGATGTAATGTATCGTATGTAACGTGATACAGGGGTTGTAAAGCAATGTATTGTATCATGGGCCTCGTATCGGGATAGATTACTGTATCGCCATATCGTTACACCACTACATAATACTATAATACAGTTACAGTCTACAAATCAAAGCTTTCAGCACAACTGAATGGGTACACACCGATGGCTCTGACTGGACTGAGGACTGGCAGTATCCCAGGTGATGGGTTTTTGTCATCATCTAAATATAATGCTAGACGGATTTCTGGCTTTGATTTGTGGTACTTTGAGTGAAGAATCTGATGCCATTTGGCAACCTGAAAAGCAAGAGAATTTATCTTTTTTAATGATACATCTTTATAAATACTTTTTTGTTTGTTGTTTAACGCCGCACCCAACAATATTCCAGCTATATGACGGTGGTCTGTAAAATAATCGAGTCCACGCAATTGGAATCGATGACATGCATCAACCAAGTCAGCGAGCCTGACCACCCGATCCTGTTAGTCGCCTTTTACGACAAGCATAGTCGCTTTTTACGGCAAGTATGGGTTGCTGAAGACCTATTCTACCCTGGAATCTTCACGGGTCATAAATAAATATTTTTTTAGTAATCTTCTAATTTGGAAACATAAGTTCTTTTGTGAATTTATTGACACCATTCACTGTTTCGTGTTTATTAAAAAAGTATATAATAGTATTTAATAAATACTAAACAATGAATGGTGTCAATAAATTCACAAAAGAACTAATGTTTCCAAATTAGAAGATTACAGTTCTGTTTCAAAGACTTAAACATTTTCAAGTTCCATTACAATGACTACACATTGTGTGTTGTCATAACAACAAAAAGGTGCCTGTGTTTTTCACACATGTCATAAAGTGGGTGCAGCAGTTTGGTTGAGAAGTGTGAACCTGTTTATTGGTTGTTGCAGCTCTCAGATCCAATATCACATAGCCTATGGCCTCTTTCAATGTACTTTGAACATCATAGGCAAAACACTGGATTTTGATGGATGTTCTCTGTAATCTGTGTTGCTGTAGTGCTTTCTTGTCAAGTTCCCATGCCAGTTCTTGTGTAAAATCTGGTGTTTCCACATGGTCTACTGGATCAGTAGCAAGTAACTCTCCATCAAAACGAGCTTCAGCAATAATCTTGTGACGAGCACGTTTGGGGAATTTTCGACCTGAAATTATTAGAATCCAATAATTATTCAACAGTACTAAAATATCAATATATCAAGGGTTGATCATAAGAAATAAATTGGTTCAAATTATCAATAAACATGATAAATATTGTGAAACATTATAACAAATCAAAGGTTAATTTGTAAACAGACGAATTTCAAGATCTCAGTCCTGACCTCCTTCACCTTTCAATGCAATGCCCCATATTACTGGGATTGGTTAAAATTTCAAAGAGATCATTGGTTTCAACACGCAATCATTCATCAACTTAGGATCAAACTTACACAGAAATAAAAACACCCTACGCAATATAGCATTCTATCTCAAGATTCTTCATGAAAAAAACAATAAAATAGCACACTAAATGTCACACTCAGTGTTATCATTCTTTATATATTGTACAAATTCATCAAAATGAAAACATTTAAATAATCACAGATTTCATGATGCCTGGGTAGAAAATCAAACCCATTGATCAACAAATCCATTGACTAATTGTAAAAAACACTATCACAAAGTGATGCCAGACTATTAAATAATATTGTGTTCCTTGTCTCCCAGAGTGGTAATATAACTGCATCGGTACTGAACAATCCAGTTTTCTGTAATTTATTATCCCACAAGATCATGCACATGATAAAAACTGCAAAGATTTGATAATCAAGTGATTGAGTTGGGGAAAATGCACTTGACCACTATTCCAGCCTTATCACAGTGGGGGGCACCAGAAATGGACTTCATACCCATGTGGGGAATGGAAGCCCTGTCTCCGGCATGAAAAGCCAAAGCTTCAACAACCACTGGACTATCCAAATAATTATCAAGCTTTTATGGGAATAACAAAGCCTAGTTTGGGGGCAAGTCAGACACACTATTTTTACCATGAATCATCTTCAGTTTTTAATGTAAGAAAATTACACACCATGTAATCACACTTCAAAAGAAACCAGTGAGTATGTTAATCATTATTCTATCTCACATTCCCTGAACCATACTATTTTCCATTCCCCACATCCCTTACTGTAATGATATATCCCAATATGAAGTAAGTCTAGATTTTCTGAAACTACCATCTCACTGGGTCTCCTTTTCAATGTAAAGTATTGCTTGTTTCTATCAAAATGATATATTTTCAGAGACAGAGTGTTAGTCTACTGGTAAGCCAGGAAAAGTTAAATTGTGACCTGACAATTAACCTTGTATAACTCTGTATGAGGTCCGCCCATTGGTGCATACCATTGCGAAGAAAGTGTTAGTGGGTGGTCCGTGACAGGAGTATGATGTCCTGTCTCGGCCACCGAGTTCTAGTGGTGGGTTCAATAGCACGTTATAGTATGTGCTGATGTGAAAACAGTGATAACAAATTTGCATAGATAACAACGATTGAGAAGTATCATGACAATGAAAGGAATTCATTTGTTGTAACATTGGAATCATATTTTTATCCCAGAGAGCAATAATGAATTGTGTGATGTTCATCGAACGATTATGAAGGTTGAGACCTTAACATCTATATAGTTGATTCAATGATATTCTTCTTAGTGAACCCCATTTGATTGTTTATGGGGTTTCAGCATACTGTAAACATAATAATGCTAGCTGGATTTATACTGAGATAACTGGATAATCATAGCACTAGTCTTCCAATTCTGATGTGTTTTTTGTATCTAATCCAATCGTCAGACCAAGTTTGACAATGATGCTGACCATTTCTCTTTCAGCTGCTATTTTCTGTTGCAAGTCGCCATCTTCAACACATCAAACATGCTTACGACATTCAGAACATTCCTTGGCACCGATTGCACCGAGTTTTGCTTGGCAACAAAATTCTTTACATTAGCCCAAACCAACTCTATTTTAAGTCCCATATGTTTTAAATATACACATAATTTTTTTCTAGACCCTCATAATTCCAATAATTTTTTATCATGTCATAAATACAGTCTAGAGTTGGCAATTGTTTTTGCACTACATAAGAATTATGTACAAATTGGTGAACAGTGCACTGGTCGAAATCGTCAAGTTGGGATTTTATAACTTGACAATTTCACAATTCACTTGGGCTAATGAAACTACTCTCGCCTTTGTAGTCACGAGTGCTTGTCTGCTCTGATGTGCTTTGGCGTAGATACAGACTGCGAGCTTCTGACAACGTTTGAGATTTATTTGTACATTCTTTCTCAATGTCATGTATGGCATTATAAGACAGTTCTCAAGTCTGAGAATGTATGATCTGGCCATGCTTGCGTAGCTTCAAAATGTTAATTTGTTTGTAATTGACTTCTATAAAAGAACTTTTAGGACATTCTGGCATCATATTGTCCCACCGACCTCTTAATCATGTTAATAATCTTTTGAGCCACATGTGTGTCCATGAGAACAATGTCAATTTCATTGTCATGACCTGCACGTGCACAACATGCGTACACCCTCTCTACCTGTAACAAACTAAATATGTTTGCCCAAATTCTGTGGACCGCCAACATGTCTCAAACTCATTTTGTGAGTTGGTTCAACTTATCGTGGATTACCACTGGTTAAATGTTAAGACATCCTGTCAGATGCATCAAACTCAGTCCATTCCTGGCAAACCCTTACTATATTCATTGCTATTTTAATCTGGATTTGTCAAATTCCTGGTTGTCTCGAACACGAGTTGTGGTCCCAAGAATTTAAAAGTAACAGGCCTCAAAGTTTATTTTTTTAACTAGCAGCCATATGGCTACCAGTGTTTTTTTCCAGGTAGCCAGTGGTAAAATCCACAAGACAGTAAAACCATACCCTGATAAGTCAACCAAATTCTTTCCAAAAAAAAATAAGCACAAGTTACAATTTGTGTCATACATAATGTTCTTTCTTAGTCTAGTACAAATTCAAGCACTTTTTTTTACTCCCGTCCAGATCATCCAGGATGCGAACCCACATTCTTAGAGTGAGGCACCTTATCGCCAGCACAAAAAGTCAGCAACATAACCAAATCAGCAAATGAGCCGTGTCAATTTACACTTTCCAGTGGGTTAAACAAAGTTTGTGATCTAGACCACCAATTGTCGGACTTCCATTTTTGTGGACAGTCTCGGTAACTGAGTGGGTTAAATCGCTGGTTTTGTGTACTGGTGATTAGGTGAAACATGCACCCCATGAGGAAAACTCTTTATTGTTTTGACCTCATGCTGTTTTGACATTTTCTGTGGCCTTTTTTACTTTACTTTTTGCAGCCGTTTTGACCTGCTTCCAAAAAACAGGTTACATTTACTTACAAATTGGAATTTGGCTCCAACCAATCAAAATTCTAAGACTGCAATGCAGTGCACATTTATTTTAATGCAGTCTCTTTATATCATCTATTATGGAAGCACAGATAAGTAATTAACTTGCACAAAACATGCAAATGATCAATTGGCTGATAATAAGAGATATTGTGCATTATGATTATTCAGATAGGACATCTCCTATAAATGTTTCATGTGCAAAACGCTCCGGTGGTGTGTCTTATATTTCGTTTCGCAAAACATAATTAACACGTCTACATTTATATCTAAAAAGAGTTTTCTGCGATTTCAAGGAAACCGCTGTATCAAAAACGAGATCAGACCTGCAAATTTGACAGGTGCTTCACTTTTCAAGTTTTCATGGTAAACTTGCAACCTTACATAAACAGGAATAAAAAATTAACATAGCCATACCTTCCAAAACAGAAATTACAACAAGATAACGCTCCTTTCCCGTCATTTCAGGCAAAATTATGTGGCTAAACTTGCAAAAACATGATCCGATCAGCAGAGTCAAATTTCGAAAACATCCGCCATGCTTGTTGACACGGAAGTGACGTCAGAGGTTAATCAGCTGACAAATTTGACCTATCATTATGCCATTTAAATTACTGAAACCATTTGACGATTGAGTTCAAAATATATCAAATCACAGAATCTTTAAGACTCGTTAATATTATCTGGATCGCACATATATACGTTTATTTGTTCGTTGTCAGCAAATAGACAGTTCCGCACTTGGTAACGGGGAATCCCTTAGTGCGCACGCAGCCGGATGAATCATTAACATCTTCCTGTTATTATCCATCCGATGCAAAAAAGTAAACCCCCAATAATTAAGGTGAAAAACTTTTCAAGATATAATCAGTAGCAGGTCAAGACCCCAATCAAACCTCCTGGGAAAAGACATATGGAATTCATGTCATAAATGTACCTGCCCTTCAACAATTTGCGGTCGCGGATGAATTTGACAGAATCGAATGTTATAGTTCCCCTGTATAGACGGCCTTTGAGACAGGAAAACAAGATATCTGACGGAGGAATATATTAATTTGTTGATCTAATTATTCATATTCGTTGAAATGAACGAAAGGAATGGGATCTTTTGTTTATCCGGTACCTAGCAGAAATGTTTGATTTTTCAAGGAGCCCCAAAGAAGAACCAGGAAGGGGCATTAGATGGGGCTTGGCAGCCCTGGTCGACTAGATCGCCTATTTGAGATCAATCTCAGATTTTATTTCAGTTGGATACCTACCTCCTAGTTAATTTTTAGAGTGGCTCTCTACATAAAAATCCCCATGAGTACACCAAAAAGAGAGTACGAAAAAAGTGACGAACAAACACGACGGAAATCTAGTGCCAGAAGCATGCACAGTTCAAACCGGCAAAGTGCTTCTAGCAACTCGGGTGTGCTCATGGTTGGGCCAAATTTTCGAGTTGGAAAAAAGATTGGATGTGGAAACTTCGGTGAACTGCGTCTAGGCAAGTATTTAGTACTTACTCATATAAGATCTGAAGTGACCAGACTCTCAGGTATTTTATGGGTGAATGTGTACTTGTGACCTTAATGAAAAATAAACAATGACGCTGTGAGTGCCAATACATACTGATGTTTGGGTAGTTTTTCCTTGTGTCACAAGCTTTGTATGATTCATCCTGTGATGTCATATTTAAGTTGCTTAACATTTGTTTTTCAGGTAAGAATCTGTACAACAACGAGCATGTGGCAATCAAATTGGTAAGTATGATAACAATCAGTGATATATAGATAAGTGATCAATGAAATGTGACTGGATGACAGCATTGACACTTATTTTGCTTGTGTTACCAGCTTGTGTTTTGAAGTTTTTACGAACAGTGAACATATACTTCAAGACATGTGAAGTATGAGATGTTTATGTTGGGGCTAAGTTAATTTTCTATCAGTGTTTTACTGGTAATGCCAATTTGACTAGGCCTTGTTGTGGTACATTACTGTGCTATTCTACCATCAAAGGCATACTGATCCTATAGTGTCCTGTAAGCACCGAGTTAGCAAACCACAGTGATATGTTTGTCTCAACAAAACTGATGGATGAATTAATATTCTGTTAAAGTCTACAATCATCATGTTCACTAGGTGTACAATTGAACAGTCCCCTCCACGGAATAGAGTTACAAGGACGCATGTGCAAGTGAAATGGCTGTCATTTATGGAAAATCATTCATGAAGAATCTAATGTAGGAATTGGAATGATTCCTTGAGTCCTCATCATTGTTCTTTCCAGTCAACCGTATTTTTTTCACTTTGCAAGTTTTTTAAGAAACGTCATGTACCATGTATCAATGACAGCAAAATCTGAAAGCACATGTGACTTGAGACAGTGATATCTCACTGTATGAGGCTAGCTCACCTGGCTTGAATGAGGATGCTGGGGTAAAGACATATGCAGGGTTCACTCTAGGAATTTTCTGACATGGGCCCTTTATCTGATAATTTGAACTATTCCAGAGGTATGCCCATACAGCACAATGGTAAAATGCCCTGTTGTATTTAAAATGTGGGCCTTTTTTCAAATTTAGGGGCTAAAAGCACAAGGCCCCGTACTAAAATTATACCTGCATATGCAGCAGGGCTTTATCTAGACCTCCCCAGGGGCAAGTATTTGGCCCTAAGCCTGCAACAAATGTCAGTGAAAAATGCTGAAGTAGAAAATGTCTAGTTCCTGTCGTCATGACTAATGTCATGGCTTTGTAGAAATGACATATGCTTTACTGATATCAGGACCAATGTTGAGGAAGACGCTTTAATGCTTATTTAGATTTTATTGCATTGAATGCAATGATAAAATGCAATATTAGAATACCTCTGAATTTACAAAACAAAATGGAATTATTATTTTTTTTAAACACAATAACAATTTGTTTTCCTAATCTATGGTTTTGAATCCAAGCTATATGCTTGTGCAGAGACCAACAATATTAGACATGAAATAAGAATTATCCCCAATAACAAACTTGAAAAAATCTCAAAAGCCTATGTTTGTACAATATACGGTACTTATTATTGTGAAAGCTGTTATTATGGACATGATTAAAGGTGTCATGAAGATACTGCAGGTGTTCCAAAACACTCAATATTTTCGTTTCTTCATGCACAGGAGCCTATGAAATCTCGGGCACCACAGCTGCATTTGGAGTACAGATTCTATAAACAACTTGGACAAGCAGGTAAGAAATAAAAGCTTATTCTTTGAATTGAATGCCAGTTCAAATGTCCTTAGTTGCCCTTGGATTCCTTAAATCATTAGAAACTTTGGTTTGTATGAAATCGCTTGTTTCTCTTTCAAGCATGTTCTTGATGACCTGTTATACTCTTGAATGTCCACAGAATAGTCAGTGCATGTAAACTTGTTTATAGTTATCAGTTATTGTATTGATATACAATCTGTGACTGTTGCCACTACTGCACTAGTCCGAAGCCAGGATCTAGTAAAATTCTGTTCGGTCTTGCACACAAACACAAACACACACAGCTTTTTGGTGGATTTTTGTATATTTTAATTGTTTTTTTAACTGTTGAACATTAGTTATATCAGTATATTGGTATTTACATGTAATATGAACTGATTGATGTGCAGGAAATGGATAAAGCAAAGGTATTCCAAACTTGTAAAAAAATCTTTTACTGTAGTTTAAGATTCATGAAAGGAAAGTACACATATTAGAGGTGCATTGATTGGAGTTCTCTCCACCAGTACAGAACAGATGAACCAGAGCTAGGTAGCAAGTTTGTGACAGAACTTTTTTGTTTGTGTAAGAGTGGGCTTTGTCTTGTGTGACAAAACCTTTTGTAGCATTGTGTTTTGTTACGCTTTTCAGAAATGGAACAGGTTTTGGCAGGCTTGTTACTACACTAGGTTTAACAACTTGGATCATTTGGAATCTTCAACTGCTGCATTTATGAGTGGGCATTGTTTAATGCACAGTCATCAATTTTAGGCCCTCCTATATATTTGAATAAAAAAGGGGTTGTCTGAATTAGTGGGAGCAATTTCATGTGTATAGCTACCAAGTGCAAAGGAATAGTTTCAAATGGGATATAAATGCAGTAACTATCGTCATAACAGCAATTCACATTTGAATAGCCACTCTCAATCTCATTAAAATCAGACCTTAATTCTCGCTACCGCTAAACAAAGATCTGAGGACATCCCATTACGTGTCATGACAGACCGACCTTGGGCGAACTTTGACTGACCAGTAGAATGACCAACCAGAAGGCAGCTTTCTCGTGCTTTACGGCACTAATTTCAAATTGGCGACTACGCTTGAAACATATTTTGACAAATTCTCGATTACAAATTTGGAACCTAAACCAAAAAAACATTCTGGAATGGCTGATAGATGGTCTAGATTGTATGGATTCAGTCGTTAAACCTGTAACTATCGTTTGGAATACCCCGTGTTAAAGTTTTTGAGGTTGTAGGATTAGAAATCACTTTTCGACTGTCACTTTCATGATCTGGTAAGCGATGCTCTCATTGGTCGGATGAAAGGTCGTTCTGGGATGTCTTCAGATCTTTGTTTAGTGGTAACGAGCTAAGGTCTGATTTTAATGAGATTGAGCCACTCTGGAACCAAACACATTCGGTCATATCCGTGAAAGTCCACATTTCGGCCACCTACAACACTCACTGTCGTCACACCACGCGAAACAGTCTGACAGTAGTGGAGACGAGAAAGGGGATGTGTTTCAATCAATGCTACTTCCAGAGAATGTTATTCTAATCAAGAATGTTTTGCGCATTGAACGTAAGTTATAATTCCCTGTCGATACAGATTATTCATTTTCAGCAAAAAACATATTTTGATGGGAGTCAAATGGAAAGCTTATCTGTCAGCTAGATAAATGACTTCACCAATAATTTGCTTCACTGTTCACATCTTAGAGGTGGATCTAGTATTTACCCAATAATTGTTGATTACTGATAAACAAGGCAATACGAAACTCTGTCAGTCGGTTTCAACCGTAGGCAATTTGTCTGTTGCTGATTGGCACTTAAACAATTATATTAATTTATATGTATTTTATTGATATATACCATTACCAGATCACAATGTGTGTATGTTTTGGCTACTACACAGTTGCCAAGAAAGCTGGGATGTGGTAGACTGGGCAAAATAACAGACATCTTCAGCATGTTCGGAGATCAAAACCCATTGCCCATTTATTTGTGATAACTGACACAAGAAAGAAAACATCTCCCACTTTAGATAACAAATTCTGATGCATATGAATACTGGTTGCTCAGTGTCATGGGTTTTATGCTTTAATGTCAAGACTTTGATTTAGACTAACCAAAAGAAATTCACTTGTTACTTATTATCCCCCGCCCAACGAAGTTGGCGGGGGATATAGAAACAGGCTCTGTCTGTCCGTCCGTCACGTTTAGTTTCCGGAGCATAACTCATAAACCGTTCGATATTTTTTCATCAAACTTTGCAGGTCTGTCAGGTACATGCTGAACTGGTGCCTTTTGCTATTGAGAAATTTCAGAAATTTTTATTTTTTACATTTCCATGGCAACAAGGTGGACTTAGGTTCTGTGTGGGTAGGGTTGGTTTCCGGAGCATAACTCATAAACCGTTCAATATTTTTTCATCAAACTTTGCAGGTCTGTCAGGTACATGCTGAACTGGTGCCTTTTGCTATTGAGAAATTTTAGAAATTTTTATTTTTTACGTTTCCATGGCAACAAGGTGGACTTAGGTTCCGAACTCATCTTTTTTTTACAAGTTCCATGACAAGTTCCACCTCGGTTAAAAAAGGTTAGGGTTTGTTTAGATTTAATTATGTCATAAATTCTGCAACAGGGGCGGGGGATATAGCCACGTTAGTGGCAAACTCTTGTTTGTTTATCATCGCCATTTCTATCACACTGTTTTTCCAGAAAAGGAGTCAATTACTACAATAGGCTTAGACGGACACAGTCAAAGTTATACACTACCATTGACCGAGTTTCCCATAGCGGCTGTGCACGTATACCTCTACTGACTGCTGTCAAATCCGATATTGTTTCTTTTTGTTTGCATAGTAATGCTTTCGGTTCCAATGCAGAAGCTTTGCTACCGACGCTTTTTATTCGAATAGATAGGAGGGTCTGAATACTGCAGCATCATGTAATTTGTGTCTGTCATGTAAACGTTTGGTGTATGATGGCACACATTCTGACAAGTCACACATTTGAAAAAAGTACACACCTGATCTTCCCATGGAAACTAATTAGTTTAACTAATGGCTACTTCAGTCATAAGGATCAGATCATTTGGACGTGCTGCTATCCCCACTAGTAGAGGGTACTGTGGATATTTCCTCTATTAGACACCGGACCTCGAGTACACGTCAGCCTCTGAGTCTTAATTGATGTCAGGTCATGCGTACTGTCTAAAAACTAGAAGACAGGCCTCAATTAGATGCAATGTCTGTAATACAGTGATGTGTTGGTGATCATTGTCATTTCCTGCAAATGTACCCATTGTGTTACTGTTGAATTTAGGATTTGGTAAAGTAATGAGATGCCTGCATTTAACACTAAATAGAATGCACACCAGCCTCTTCATAGATACTGGGTCAAAGGCTTGTGCAAGATTAATAGACTCACAGGTGCATAATAGAGGAAATACGTTTTTCTACAGCTACCTTTCAGGCCTCATTTTCAAGGATGATAAACATCTTAAAATCTCTCCACTCACCTCAGATAATAATAAAGTTATGATGTCTTAATTTGTTACAGTTTATGCATGTGCATGTCAACATGTTTTTTTCAATGTGAAGTACAAAATCATTTACTTGGTTACATGACATAACTACCTTGTGGCTAAAGTCAAACTGTTGCAGTCTGTAGTAGCCATACGGTGCCCCAAGCTGATCAACAACATTCAAAGATGATGTAGTCACCATTTAAGTTGTTGTCATGTAACTGGAATATTTGCTGAGTACTGCATTAAGCAACAAAAATGTGTGATCTCAGGTAAGAGGTTCCCAGGGTAGATCAAGGTATTCATTGTGCCACGGCTCCCCTGGCCCAAAGCTGTGAACACAAAATGCCAAATAAGAAAGTGGTCAACTGTAACAAATGGTCTGATTTTGTGTGCTGGCGATTAAGTGCCTCACTCTGGCAGTGTGGGTTTGAATCCTCGATGGGACTCAACCCCAAAAGTACTAGAATCTGTTCTTTACTTAGAAAGTGTTATCCCAAGTATATCATTTGTTACATTTGACCACTTTCTAAATGGCATTGTGTGTTCACACACATGAAGCATGCAAGACTAAATAAAATGGTGCAAAATGTATTTGTTTATGTAGAATGTTTTAAAATCGAGACACCTTCTATGCATCAGTCAATGTGGATAACTGTAGTACCCTAAAATTCAAAGTTAAATCAGCAATTTAAAGACATCAGGCATAGCTTTTACACACACCGTTGCAAGGCCCCGGTCCTCAAAACGATCTTAGTGCTACAATGATAGTTAGCCTATGTTAAAGTGTGGGACTTACGATCACCTTAGCGCAAAGATCGCTTTGTGGAACGCAACTTGGGGGGCAATACTGCCATAGACTTTACCCCAGACACAAGGACATCTGTCACAACTGTGAAATGTCTGGTCTTTTCCCTGCTTTGAAGCATTTTGAAAAAAAACTAACCTTGCACTTACTCTTGTTGAGAACAAGACAGCATTGTAAACATAAGACATTAACGCAACATATAATGTCATTTTGTCATGAACAATAATAAAGGCATGATGCTGAAAACACTGATCGAAAATAGGACAACTGGTTTTTATGTGATGCACAAATGTTGAGAACTGACGCATAAAGATAATATGCTTCATCCCGAGAGACGCAATAGTATCCATTGTACCTACAGCGCATAAAGAGCAGTCATTGATGTCTGTCATTTCACCCTTCAATCATTATCACTGTCCACATGATCAGTGATTCATTCCAGGCTTTAAAGTAACTATCAAAACATACAGTACACTACACCAGTTCATTACTTTACAGAGCCCATATTTAACCTGCCATGACCCTTAATATTAATTATTTGGAGTCCCTTGGACCCCACTTTTGTAAGTTAAGGTAAAACATTGGGACAATATCTGTTACTGTACATTCTTAGAATGACAATAAACTTTATGAGAGCTTTTCATTGGTCATTAGAAAGGCT